TGAGGAGGTAAGAAGGGGAACAGAGGAGGGGCAGGTAAGAGGAGATAAAGGGAGGTAAAGTGTCTAGGCACTGAGAAGGTGGAAGCACGAACGGTAGCTGAGCTAGAGGGGCGCACGGTAGGTGAGCCGAGCCGAGAGCGGCAGCACGAGGTAGGGCGCGAACAATAGCGAAGGGAGAGGGACGACTCGACGCAGGATCCGGGACGCGGACAGCAGCGCGAGGCAGGGCATAGAGTAGGTGGTGGAGCTAGAGGAGGAAGTGAGCCGAGTTAGGAGGAGATGAGTGAAGGGAAAGAAAACGGGAGGGAGGGAAAGAATGCGATAGGTAAGGTTAAGGAAAAGGAGAAAGTTAGAAGGGGGAGCACGGGAAATATAGAAGAGTTGTGGAAAAGGAAGAGGGAGGAAATGGATAGGAGCGGGGGGGAGGAAAAGGAGGAGATTTTTAAGAGAAGTAACATGACGGCAAGATCTCCTAAAAAAGACTCGGAGATAGGTGTGAAGGAGTTGGGAGAAAGAATGGGAGAAATGATGGAGGAATTTAGGGCAGTGAGAGAAGAGCTAAGGGAGGGTTTCAAGGAGCAGGGTAGGAAGATGAAAGAAGAGATAGAGGACCTGAGAAGGGAGTTTAGGGAGCGAGAGAAGAGATGGAAAGAGGAGAGGGAAGAGACAAATAAGCAGAAGGAGAAAATGGAAGAAAGAATAAGGAATTTGGAGGAAAAAATGGAAGAGAGGAAGGAGGAGAAGAAGGAGGAGGAAAGAAACGGTAGAGGGGAGGTGGGGGAGAAAATGAGAGAACTGGAGAGAAGGCTGAAAAGGAAAGAAAAGGAGGAGAGAAGAAGAAACATTGTAATAAGAGGGCTGGAAGTAAAAGAAGGAGGGAGGAGAGAAAATGCAGAAAAGTTACTAGAAGGAATAGGAGCGAAAGTAAAGGCAATAGAGGTGAAGAGAATAGGAGGTGATGCAGAAAAAGGAAGGGAAATGGTGCTGTTGAAATTGGAGAACGAAGAACAGAAATGGGAGGTTATGGAAAAAAAGAGGAGCCTAGTGGGGAGAAAGGAAAGAATTACGGAGGACCTATCGTGGGAGGAAAGAAGAATGAATTGGAGGTTGAGAGAGATAGCGAGAGGGGAGGAAAGAGAGGGTAGGAGGGCATGGATTAAGGCAGGAAGAATAAGGTTGGAAAATACTTGGTGGAGATGGGATACGGAAGAGGAGGTGTTAAAGGATGAAAGGGGAAGGAGAAGAAAGGAGAGCAGAGGAGGGAAGGAAGGGAAAGAAGGTAAAGGAGGAGAGGAAGAGGTAGGAATGGAGACGGGGGAATAAGAGGAGAAGAGGATAGAGGGGGTGAGATAAAGAAGGACAACGCGAAAGTTAGAAGAGAAGAAGAGGGGGAAAGTAAGTCAGTTTGGAGGATAGTATTCTGGAACGTAGCTGGGTTGGAAAATAAAGATAAGGATTTTTGGGAAGGGCTGAAGAAAGAAGATGTGCTAGTCATGTTAGAGACCTGGATAGGAGAAAAGGGCTGGGAAAGAATAAGGGGGAGACTTCCAAAAGGGTACGAGTGGGGGGTGCAAATGGCGAAGAAAAAGAATAAAAAAGGAAGAGCAATAGGAGGGATGATAATGGGAATAAGGAAAGGATTAAAAGAAAAGGGAACGGCAATAGAAGTAGATAGGGAGGGTTGGATTACGGGAAAGGTCAGAACAGATGGCGAGAACTGGAGTATTATAGGGGTGTATGCAAAGAAAGAGGGGATGGAGGAGAACGTACAGGAGTTAGGAGATAGAATGGAAAAGAAAGAAGAAGGAAGGTATACGATAATTGGGGGAGATTTTAATGCGAGGACTGGTCAAGAAGGTGGGAGGATAGAGGAAGAGGAGGGAGGAGGACTGGGAGAAGGAAGAAGGTCGAAGGACAAGAAGGTGGACAGAGAGGGGAGGCTGTTGGTAAAGAGCTTAGAGGAGAGAGGATGGGAGATATTCAATGGAAATGTGAAAGGAGACGAGGAGGGGGAGTTTACTTTCACGGGGGGAAGAGGAGGTACGGTGATTGACTACATAATAGGGGAAGGAGAAGTAAGGGAGAAGATAGTGAGCATGGTAGTGGGGGAGAGAGTAGACTCGGACCATCACCCATTGGAAATAATAGTAAGAAGGGAGGAAGAGGAGGAAGGCAGGAGAGGAGGGTGGAAGAAAAGAAGCAGGGGGGTGTGGAACGAGGAAGGAGCAAAGAGGTTTATAGAAAAAATAGGAGAGGTGGAAGAAAAAGAAGAAGAGTTGAATAAGGAATGGGAAGAAATGGAAACAAGAATAACAGAGGCAATAAAAGGGGTAGAGGAGGAGCTGGGAAATAAGAAAGGGAAGGTGGGATGGTGGGATGAGGAATGTCGAAAAGCGAAGAAAGAGACAAGGAGAAAATTAAGGGACTGGAGGAAGAAAAGAGGAGAGGCCAGTGAGTACAAGGAAAGGAGGAAAGAATTTAAGGAGATATGTAAGAGAAAGAAGGAAGAGGAGAACCAGAGATGGGAGAGAAAAGTGGAGGGAGCAAGGAGGGAGGCGGAGGTATGGGAGATAGTGAATAGGGAGAGAAGGAAAAGGAGGGGAATAAAGGAAGGAATAGAAGAGGAAGAATGGAAAGAGCA